AATACAAATAAACTGAATGCTATAATATACGCTTTTATCGTAATAATGCCCATGATTCTATAGGCATTTACAATAAACTTTAAAAAAGTATTGTATATAGAATTGCATAAAATTATTATGTAAAATTGCATAAAATTATTATGTAAAATTGCATATACATGTATGCATGTATATTGTCAAATATACATATATACATACATGTATACTATTAAATTACACATATAAGAAAAAGGAAGGTGGCTTCAAGAAGATGGATCATTATTTTCAAAATACAATATTTTAAAAGATTTTGCAAATGCAATTTATTAAAAATGCTTAAATAGATGTTAATATTGTAATATGATGAACAAAAATGAATAATAATGATGAACAAATTATGTATAACTATAAAATATGAATAAAAAATATTACATAGCTTTTAAAGATTATACTCATGTATATAAAAAAAGAAATGCAAAAATAATATTTAAAAAAGATAATTTTTTTTTTCTAAATTGTCATTATACCTAATAATATTTTTTCTAAAATATGAATAATTCATCAGATTTAAGTTACGTATTTAACTTGAGTCGCCAGTGTTTGCGGCTAATTGGTATATGGCCCGATCCATATGTCTCTTTGAATGATTTTCGTCGGCCAAGCATAAGATTCATGATAGCTACATGTACTATGAGTCTTTTCATATTTACCCCGCAAATGATAAATCTGATCCATGCTTTTAAGGTAACGTGAATCGAATGATGGAAGTCTTCGTCGCCACCAATTTCAATTTAATGGCATTGTGCAAGATGATTGTTACGAGATATCATGGCGAGAGTAAGTTATTATTTTGCAAAATTAAAAATATTAAATAGATCTGTAATTATCATAAGTAATATAAATATTAATGTTGAATTTTTCTTATTAAAGTCTAAGACTGCTATTGTATAACAGTTCTTTTTATATAAAAATAACTTGCTTTACCAGTTTACATTTATACTAGTAATAATATAATCATGTTTAATTTGGAAGAACTTCAAATACTAATAGCATCGATTATGACTGATTGGGCAACTTCGAAGAGCAATTGGGAACGAAGTACAATGTTGAAGCTAGCAAGAAATGGCAGAAGTTTATCTTTTGGATATTTAATTGCTGCAATAGGCGTAATTATATTTGCTTATTATGTTCGTTTTGGAGCTGTCTTGCAAAACATACATCAGCCTCGACGATACCTTATCTACCGATTCGATTACATTCAAAAGACTCCGAATTATGAAATCGCCGTTTTTATTCAATCGTGGGGCGGTACGTATACAGTTATCGGCAACTATAGTGTCGACAGCTTTGTCTCGATACTCCTGTTTCATATGTGCGCACAAATTATAAATCTATGAACCACACTTAACAATTTAATCAAAAGATTAGACAACACACCCAGATCTTCTTCAAAATTTAGGGAAGGCCTAGGCTGTAATCATTAGACGACACGAGCATCTAATAAGGTACGCTTTAGAACTTTCAGCATATTATGTAATATATTTTAAAGTATGTAATACATATATGTATATATAGCTAAAAAGAAATATTATTCTACGATAAAAAAAATCGAACGCCATTTATATTTAATAGAAAAATTTATATACGAGAGAGAGATGCAATTTGTGCACAAAACAGTGCAAATTTTGATTCTTTTTCTTTATATTAAACATGTATTATAATTAAATTTTCGTATTTTAATACTCATCAGAACTGGACGGCCTTCCTTTTCTTAATATCTCTCTTTTGTTCTTTAATTAAAATATTTTATTTGGTATATACGTGTTATACGTTCAAACCCGGAGAAGGATGAGTCGAAGAGAAGGCTTAACTATTTGATGCTGACAGGATGTAACATGAAGATGTCGTTTTGATTATGCGCATAACGATATTTTCATCTTACGCATGCGTACCAAATGATAAATAATAAGAAACCGATGCACAAGAAATAAGTTCAGAATATGAAAATTTGATTTTATATCCTTAAAAGTGGTGGTAACAATTTGAAAGCTCTTTCTCTCTCCCTCCCTCTCTCTCTCACCCTCCCCCCTCTTTCTCACCCTCCCCTTCTCTCTCTCACCCTCCCTCTTTCTCTCTCCCCTCCCTCTCTCACCTTCCCTCTCTCTCTCTCTCACTCTCCCTCCCCCCTCTCTCTCTCTATCAAACTACAAGATATATAACAACAAATGTAAAATCAATTTTATTTCATAAATTCAAAATTCCAAATATGATATATATATATACATATATCATTCTTTAAAGACTTCTACATTATGAAAGTCTCTAATAATAAAAAAATATATATAATACGAATTTTGAAGGAGTACAAGAACAATCAACGATTGCTATAGCCCAATATTATGTGTGAGCATGCTAGGCGCTTCTTTTCAGCTTCTTCTTGTAACCTTTCAAGTTTTCACGGTAGGCGCAACAATTCATATGTGTGCGCATGTGTGTGTGTATAATCTCTACATAATCTTTTAGAAAGATTATATGTATATATATATATATATGTATATATACATAAAATTAATACATAAAATTTTTCTGATCTATTTAACAAATTTTCTTACATTAAATTAACCATATCCGACTTTTCTTTGATAAAATATTATAATATTCTTCAAAAGAAAATATTTACTTTTTTTGAGTACATGATAATGAGTATTTCTAAAATTTATGACAAGTCTATTTTAAGACTATTATTAAGAAAATATTCTTTGTTAAAGATAACTGTTACTTAAAAGAAGTAAAGTAAACTGAGTAATTATTTTACTTAGCAATAGAATAATATTTTTCTGTGTGTACCAATATAGCGTACGGCGTGTATGAATGCAAATGATACAATATATCGGCGAAAAATGCGAAAGACTTGATGTTGATTGTATATCGATCTGCGATTCCGCTTAAATTGACAGCTGGAAAATTTGGAAATTTTTCGTTAGAATTATTCGGAATAGTAAGATATATATCTTTAAAAAAATACATTGCTTTATATGCAATCATTGTACAGAAATATCTATTTCTTTAGTTTGTAAAAACATTTTGTTTTATTTATGTTTTATATTATATATTATGTATTGTTTATAAATTTTTCTTTTTACATATATTATATACCATCAATCATTGCTATCTCTCATTCGTGAAAATAAAATTCAACATTTTATCTTTAATTTTTACTCTATTTAGGCAGTGAAAACGACAATGGGATATTTATCTGCGTTGCTAACAATAAGAGAATAAAGGAAATAGTAGCGAATTAATTCTGTAATTTCTGACTACATCAATTTTCATATAATGTAATGAGCACATGCACTGCCTGCAGCATCATCTTTTATTGAATAAATAGATATTTGTGTGCAACCTATGAAGCTATTTATTTGCTTCTGTTGACTAACATATCATAAACAATTAAATAAACATGATTATATATGTTATGTATATTTTTTCTTTTAATATTGGGAACTTTTAATATTGATAAAAGTAATAAATTTTATAGCATAAATTTTTGTTCAAAATTGGCGCAATTTCTTAATATTATTGTTTTTGTAAAAAATTAAAACAATGATTTTGTACAATTTTTTTGGTTAAGATATTCTTATAAGTTTTTATTTTCAGTAGGCGCAATTTTTTGGTATTATTATTTTTGTAGAGGATGAATTTTATACAATATTAAAATAATTTGTAGAATGATTTTTTACTTGTAGAATTTATTATAAATTTTATTTGTAAAATGGTTTAAAATAACATTATTTTATAGAACACTTTTTTTGCATTAAAATAACAATTTTGTAAAATAGTTTTTCACAACAATGACATATGCACTTGGCGCCTTTTTTTTACCTTTTTTCAAAAAGTAATTTTTGACAATATAACATTTACAGAGACGCGCGCTTTTTCAGTCCATTAATATAAACTATATTTAACATAGCACATTCAAGAATACATGCGTCTTCCAATCATTGACAATTATGTCAATTATTGTTAACTATCAATAAATATCAATTTTTCGCAATTATAATCTCATATTTTTTTATTTTGTGTATACTTATTATGCGTTTAAATAATAATTCTTACTTATTAAACACATCAGCAGATCGCACAAATTGTAATTTACACGCTTTGAGCAGATTGCAATAAATTTTTGATGAACATAACTATATATTCAAAAGTGTCGCGAACTGTTCCATATAATGCAGTAACTTTCTCTGACTTCACTTTATAGTCTTTTGTATACGCAGCATAGTATCACTTTCCGCATGCGTGATTCTGAAGTGGAAGGGATGCAGGCAAAGTTTACGGCAAAAATGTTGCGTCAGTTGTTGCGCCGTCGACATCCGTTAAATATCGATGGATGCTGATCGAGGTACGCGTAGTAAAGATGCTATGCTTATGCGCTCATGTGAATCATTAACATCAGTAACACAATCAATAACAAAATTGGCATCTAGAAATATTTTACACATATCTCTTTCCTCTAAAATTAAAACATTAATTCCAAACTAAAAAAACTTTATCAAATGGTTTGCAAAGTATATATAAGTACATATAAGTGCATTGCAAACTGCTAAGTGCTTAAACAGATTGAAAAATGTATAATTTGCATATGATTAAATATGTTGAAATTATTTATTAAGTGAAAAGTTTCAGTGGGAAATTTTGGACATATTAAACTCGAAGTATAAAACGCATACTTCAAACTCTACAAAAGTGAAATAATTTGGATAAATTTTCGTAAATTCAATTTTAAATATGTTTAATTTTATGTATGTGTGTCTGTACATTCTTTAACTTTAATATATTTTTTATTGTTGTGAGCAAAGCGGTGAGACATGAAATTAAACCTTCTTTGTATAAAATAATGTACGCTTCCAGTCTTACAAATTTTTTTGAGATTTGCAAATAGTATTTTTGATTAAATTAAAAATCGTCAATATTGCTCGCATAAATAATCGTCGAAGTAATTTTTTCATCTATTGATTTTTGACGCAAGTTCGGTTTGCATAGACTTGAATTTCGCGATTGGATGGAATCGGTTCAATTTGGGTATCGTCGGCATCTGGCCCGATCCGCTGCAAAATTCCAAACGTGGATTGTCCCGATGTCGTTTTCTGACAGCTAGTTTCTTTATGCTGGGTTTCATGTGTATACCGCAATCGGTAAATCTGGTATTTATTTGGGGTAATGCGGACATGATGACCGAGAATTTGGCGACCGCCAATATCCCGGTCGCGAATGCTTTCATGAAAGCATTCACCATCTGGCATCATAGAAAAGGTACAAAAAGTATGAAGAATATTAGAAAAAGAAAACAAGATAACATATATGTATATAATTTTGTGAAGTCTGCACAATAAAATACTAGAAATAACTTTTATAATTTAGCTTTGATTTAGTTAATAAAAAAACAGTATCATGGGCAAATTCCAGACAATATTACTAATTTATTCTTATCTTCATCAATTGTCTTGTTCAGCAATTTTATTCTTACGGACAGAATTACAATTCTTGTTATACCGAGATTTCATCGTATAATTCTTGTTAATAGTAATTAAAATAAGACTAGTTTCATTTGAGAAAATTGTTAGTTACTTTCGATCAAAAATCGAAAATGGAATATTTGCCCGAAGCTTTGAAGCTGTTGGTCGACTTCTTCTATCAGGATTGGCACGCGCCGAAAACGTCAGAGGAGAGAACAGCCATGTTGAAGAGCGCTAAGCTCGTCAGAAAGATATCTATCTGGTGCACGATACTAACGCAGACCATGGTGACCATTTACATCGTTCTGAGAATCTCGATAATCGTCAAGTTTCCACGAAGCGATCCGGCTCGTCCCTTACTTTACACGGCCTATTTTCCCTTCGATGTTACTCGAAGTCCGATCTTCGAGGTGATTTGCGTGTGTCAAATATTATCGGCTTACAGCGGAACAGTTTCTTACACCGGCAGCGACAGTTTCATCTCCATGCTGGTGCTCCACGTTTGCAGTCAATTGCAAAACTTGCGCGGAAGATTAAAAAATCTCGCTAACAATCCAAGCGGAGTGGGAACAGCCGAGGAGTTCAAGAATGAACTGAGGCGAATCGTGAAAAGACACGAGCATCTGAACTGGTTCGTAATTAATAGAACAAGCATTTTTGTTAAAACAATTTTATTTATCTTAGGCTTGAGATTTTTTTTTTTCCTCATTCTTTTGTTTGTAATCCAAAATTAATAATTGCTGAATATTAAGGATGCTAATATCTGTTATTTCAAGGTTTGCGAAAACAATCGAAGATTCTTTCAACACGGTATTCTTAATACAGATGCTTTCTTGCACCATTCAATTATGCTTTCAAGGTTTCCATGTGTTTAGGGTAAGTGGTAGAGATAGCATGCATCCAATTTTTCGCGTATTATTTCTACTTTAATTATTTTATGATATACAGAGTGTTCCAGGTTAGGTCAATGAAACTTCAGGGTCTTATAGAAAATTAAACTTGGAACGAAAAAGCTCCTATAAACATAGATCCGGAAACGCTTCGTTAAAAATTTATAACTAATAAACTTTGAAAAATGACGTTTTCTGATGATTTTTAAAAATAACTTCAAAATTCTTCATTTATTTGAAAAAAATAACAAAATAAATCTGATGGGTAATTAAATAACAAACTAAATTATACCAATTTTATTTAATTTTGATAAGGCGTTCAAAAAAAATAAGCTTAAAACAAAAAACAAAGCAGAAACTTGAAAAAACTACCTTTCGATGATCTTTATGTAAACGCTACAATCGTAATGCAAACATTGCAAATGCAAACATAAAAATGTTCTTATTAAATTTTAATCATAACTAATTACTTACAGAGAGTTTATTAGCTATAACTTTTTAACGAAGTGTTTCCGGACCTATATTTATAGGAACTTTTTTGTTCCAAATTCAATTTCCTATAAGACCATAAAGTTTCATTGACCTGACCTGGAACACTCTGTATAATGCTAAGATACAATATCAATATATTGCATAAATTTCTTCAGAAAGTCTATGTAATAGTGAATTCGTATAATAAAAATCAGAAATATTTCAGATACTAATAAATGAAGAAAAAAACGAATCACCGACCTTCCAATTAATTTTTCTTGCCACTTTCGTAGGTTTTGTCCTAGTCCATCTGTATATCTATTGTTACGTCGGAGAGATGTTGCTCGTGCAGGTAAGATGCATAAATACATTGTTTTAATTGTATAATTTATACATTTCTAATATGATGCTTTATTAATCTCTCTTTGCATTATTTTACATTAATTAATTAAAAAATAGATATTTAATAATTTCGATAACTTGTTGTTTTTTATTAATGAGTGAATTAACAAGAATATATATTCACTATAGAAAATAAGTAGATACAATCCTAATGTATATAATATCTGATACAGATAAAAATTTTTAAGGATAGATCAAGTCAAATTAGATAAATTCGATTAAATTAGCTCATTAAATTCTGTTTTATATAGAAAATAGCATTATGAAAAATAGATACGAGGTTGTAAATTGCCTAACAATTATAATATTTCAAAATAATATTTCTTGATAATCAAAAACGAACTTATTTATAATTCAAAGTACACCTGACACTTAAAATTCTGTATAATAAATTTCAAATTCATCGGTAAAATGCAGTCTTTTTGTACATAATTATCAAATTAATAATAAAAAATAAAGTAATAATAAAAAGAATTTTTATATTAGATGCGCGAGTAATAAAATAAACTTTCAAATTTACTGTTTTGGAGCATATACTTTCTTATAAATATTTCGACAAATTTTTATCTGTGTGATATAGTAAACAAGGGTTATATCAATAATTATTCCAAAATTATTATATGCATCTATTCTGCACACGCATATTAAATAATAAATACATTTAAGAGTACCGAGATGGGTTTCTCCGCGTATGAATCAAACTGGTTTAATGTGCCTGGGAAAGAAGCAAGAAGCCTTCTATTTATCATGCACAGATCGTCGATGCCGCTTTGCCTAACTGCTGGAAAATTTAGCACATTTTCCTTGCAAATGTTTAGCAAGGTAAGAAAAACTTGTGTCGAATACTTCATATTTTATACTTTGTCGTCGAATTTTATTATTCTATTTTAGATTGTGAGAACTTCACTCGGTTATCTCTCGGTACTACTTACTGTAACCGATCGAGGAGAATAACTGGTAGCGGCTAAGCTCTGCTATAATTATGTTAATAATCGTTGTACACACAGTTATCGTTAAGCAACATTAAACTACCGCTCATATTCACGATGGCTCTGAAACTTTGCATTGAAGTTTTTTTTTATATACATTACTTCCAGTAGCTTCAATAAACGTAGATGAAACTAACAGATAAGTTTATTTCCATGATTCAGGAATTTTATTATTTCGGCTGTGTAAGTATCCTTCATGCTAAAACTGCATGTCTACCAATGACAGGCTGTCTGTCTACATGGGCATACTTCTAAATCTAAATTATTCTATCGATTTGAATGGACGCCTGATTGAGATTTTCCACGAGCAATCTCCTAGTATTATTATTAACAAACGTGTAATTAAAAATTTCAATCGTTAAAACTGCGAGATTACGAAACTGTCTATAAAAAAGTTTATATTATCTATTTATTTTTTCGTGTCGGTTACAGTAGGCGAGATTCATATATAAATATTACCAGGGTAAATATGTATAAAAGATCATACATCGCCGATTTAATCGCCACTTAGATATGTTGTAGGGGAAAGTGTTCTGAGTAATTTCCCGCAAGAATAAAAAAAATAACAGATTATTACAGCATGCACAGACTTTAATGTCAAATTTTAATTTATTATATCTCCTAAACTAATGTCGTCCACCACTTGATTCTTGATTCTTCGTCAGAACACTTCCCCCAACAACATATTTAAGTGGCAATTAAATCGATGAAGTGTGACCTTTTATGCATATTTACCATAATAATTATAAATTTTAATTATAAATTTATTGATTAACCTAATATAAACAAAATATAGTTTTTATACAGTTTTTATACAGTTAATTAATACAGCAATAATAAATATAACATTAAAGATATGATGGATATTATTCTTAACATCAACCGATAGTTGTAGAATGTACACAGTGACCATGAGAGTTTCATGTCTCACCGCTATTTGCTTGTAAAGTTCTTCGAAAGAGGGAACCTTTGTATTGTAACAGTGCTTACGAGAAACAATTCGTTCTCTATATATTTGATTTAAGAGCTTACATAATTATTATTAATTTTTGTTTGTCGATAGTCAAAAATATGGATAGATTGCTGTATATGGCTCAGCAATTTTTAATAATTCCAAAACTATAGTAACAGTAAACAGTGATACACACAAACGTTTTTTAGAAACATAAAATAATACGAATTTTTTTAAATTTGTTGGTTCTAATATAATACAAAATAATTTTTAAAAAATATTAAAAAATCTGTCTATATATATATAATTTTTAATAAAACTATTATTATTTATACACACACAAATATTTAAAATGAGAAAAAAATTGTATTACACTGAAAGATGTCCAATACAATCATTTTTTTTTCTATGTCGTATCATGTATCAAGATATTTCTAAGTTTCGAGGGGGATTTGAAAATATTTTGGAGCCCTTTTTTCTCTATTTTATTCAAAAATATTAATATAATAAATATATAATAATTACGGTATCTCTCTTAGTCTGACTCTTCCCCTTCGACCTGTCCGGCATGGGTGACCCTACCGGTAACTATTAGCTTTTTCGAATAAAATAAATTTGATTGCTTTGAGAGCGATTAAATTCAATTTATCATAAATATATGTTTGACCAAATAAGTTTTAAGAGAATCTGATTAATATAAATATATAATACATTAATAATATAACTAATATAAAGTATATCTCCCGTTTTTGTTGCTTTTGGCTTTAAAGCACAAGATTCTTCGCCCTAATTAATCCATTAAAGGCTTATTTGAAGTATGTCATTGATTAATCTAATAATTTAAGTACCTCTAATAATCAAGACGAAATATATGACATCATTAATTGGTCTCAAAAGGATCAAATATGTTTCACTCGAAAACATATGTTACCGCCGGCATAGCTCTTAGGGTCATCAGAGTACTCAAACCTCCTCACCTGGCAAATGCCTTCGTTAACACAAATATTTAAAATGAGAAAAAAATTGTATTACACTGAAAGATGTCCAATACGTTAATTATTCTAATCTCCTTATTTGATAAAAGAAATAAAATATCATATTTTGTTGAATACATACATAATGTTACTTCCCTTAGTACATATAACGTTCTCAAAGAGCATGCGTCGTCAAGACTCGCATGCGCCTCGAAACAGATCCTTTCAGTTACTTTAACGTCGTTGCCGCGAAAACCTCAAGAGATGTCGATCGAGGTCGGTTTCATACACACACGATTTGTTCTTTAAATATCTCTCTAAAAATACATCGTAAATTCTTTTATAAGTAAAATACTTAATGTGCAAGAATTTTATAAAACCAGTCGCGCGAAATGGCAGTGAGCATTCTAGATTCTAGATTATTAAGAATTTATTCGATTATTGAAAATGTATATTATCAAGTTTTTCAGCAAAGATTATTGTTTAAAATATACTTCCTATTCCTATTTATTATAATTTTGTTTTATCTAATTGGAATAAATATTTCACTTCCAACTTGTTAATATGACTCTTTTCTTTTTAATTCTCATTATCAGAGTATTTTATGCCACAAAGTACTACAAAACTACAGAAAAAAATGTGCGCTTATTAACATCTTATCTTTGTCTAAAAAGGCAGACTCCGAATACGCGCACGGATGGAATCGTTATACTATGATGTTTATGGGAATTTGGCCGGAGAATTTTGGTCAAATTTCTAGCTACAAGGCGATAGTCCCAGTTCTAACAATGTTCTGCTTCGTATGCGCGCCACAGTCGGCCAATTTATTGTTCATCTGGGGCGACTTTGACTCGGTGGTAGAAAACTTATCTATGGCAAATATAACTATTACCATCTCGTTGTTAAAGACCATCATATTTTGGTTAAACGGTGGATGTAAATATACCAATTTTCATACCACAAGTCTCAATTTTTATCTATATTTTTATCTATAGCGAAATTCGATGCATAGTTGGAAAGTTTAGCTTAAATTTAACATATATCGCATGTCCTAAACAATCCACACAAATTTTTGTGTTAATTTAACATAATAGATAAAATCAAATTTTTTTTTTCTAAACTTTAATAGATAAATTCTATCGCTAATAATACGGAACATATCTATTGTGTAAAAATAAAAATATGTGCACATTGTGTTATTTATACACTTTTTCAGATGTTTTAATAATTTAACATTTGAGTTCAATTAATACAAGAGTAATATATTAGATTAACACATAAATTCGTTAAATATTTAACACAAAAATTTTAACAGACATATTTTTTAACAAAAAAACAAATTTTCCAACTGTGTGTTTATAGAGAGAGTTTAGAAACAATAAGTCAAATATCTGAACAAATTCTGATAAGAAGATGTAAACTAATCAGTGTTTTCAACTTATAAAAGCGCATAATAAATATTTTCAATTTTATAATAAAAAATATATTATCAAACACACATATATTTAGAAAATCTAAAATCGTTAAAATAGACAAAGAATATAAAAATAAAATTTTTTAAACTTTCTTTTTATAAGACGTAAGATTAATATTTAAAAATTTTTCTACACCCTAAAAAAGCCATGAGGATACTTATGTCATACATGAAGAGGGACTGGAGTGTAACTGTGGATAAACGAGATCGCAGGATGATGTTAGATATAGCGAAGATCACCCGAAATCTATCGATAAGCAGCACGATAATGGTTCAAATAGTGGTGATTGCCTATGTAGCGTTTCGATTCATCGTCATTCGACATACCGGTCGTCAGTTATTCTTCCGCGCGTATTTTCCTTACAACGCGAGCAGCAGTCCTTGTTACGAATTGACCTTCCTCGGACAATTAATCGCTGGTATGTTTGCGGCAACTACTTACACGGCAGTAGACACTTTCATCGCCACTCTGGTGCTTCATACGTGCGGTCAACTCGCGAATTTACGTCGGAAATTAACGAATCTGCGTGCCTGCACGAGAGTGGAGTTCCAGGCTAAGATGAGAAAGATCGTGAGAAAGCACGAATATCTTAACAGGTGAGAAATCAATCGAGTAAAGCGCGATGCAAGAAAGCATAATGAAAGATTATTCGATATTGTCACGACTCCCGAGTTTCTTGACAATTTTCCTAACAAATCTACTTCGATTGATCACCCTCTGGCTTATCCATGAGAAGCATAAATCATAGCGCTCAGCAAATTTACTTACAAGATATATATATATATATGCAGGTAAAAGATTTTTTATCTAAGAAAACTATAACTTTAAACGCGCCAAAAAACTACAATATTTAAAAAATATCTGTCGAATTTTTTTGATATGGTATTCGATTTGTAATATTCCGTCAGATTTGCTTGTGACTAAGCGTTGAGTTACTTCAAGATTTTGGATATTTATGCAAAATAGAGTTTAAAATGAATTTTTATAAACTTCTTCTCACATTATTAAAAAAACTCAAAATTGAGGATACAATTTGTTTGTAAGAAACAAATATAATTTAAAGATAGAATTTTATTAAGGATTCTTATGTTCACACAATGGCATTTTTCATAAGATTTGCAGAAACAATCGAGGACTGTTTCAACACGATGCTTCTAATACAAATGTTAGGATGCTCGTTGCAACTTTGTTTCCAGTGTTTGCAAGCGTTTATGGTGAGCCATACAAAGAAAGGAGAGAAAATCCAAATGAAAAAAAGAAAAAAAAGATAATTACGGTGTCTCTCTTAGTCTGGCTCCTCGCCTTCGACCTGTCCGGCATTGATGACCCTACCAGTAACTATTAGCGTTTTCGAATGAATCAAATTTGATCGCTTTGAGAGCGATTAAACCCAATTTACCATGAATATATGTTTGACCAAATAAGTTTTAAGAGAATCTGATTAATATAAATATATATATTCATATAATGCAGAATTCACTAGAAATTTTTAGATCAGATATAGCTGATAAGGAACGATTAATACGATATTTGTGATTAATGATTAACATGTAATTACAAAACTTATTAAGTTTTATATAATGCAAACAATTATGACCAGAAGAATCGTTAATAAAGTTATTGATTGTTTTTTAATTGTACAAAAAAGTACTTGGTCTACTGGCGCATTTTGCCTAGACTTTCAAAGAAAATATTCGAAAAAAGATAGATGAAGCTTCGATGTAAATCAACGATTAAATCACAAGATAAACCGCGATTTAAAATTTGCAAAAAAAACGCAACGAATAAATAAATCGACGATAGTCATAATATTCGATTCCAATATATATACATATAATTTTTGGAACAATCAGAGAAACGATATAATTATTACATACTTATACAAAAATTTCGACGGACGTTTAAAACGCTTTTTATAATCGCATCTGTAACATGATATTTGTAAAAAACCTAATGCCCGATTTATTTTCAAATGCGTGATTTTATGCAAATTTCGCGATTGAGAATAGGAATATAAGTACCGTTTCGCGGAACATTGGCTAAACAAGATAAAATCTTATAAATCTTAAAATACCGTTATAAAAACATTGCGTTATCGCCGCGTTCAATGGAGGATAACTGGCCCAACGAATTGACCA